TTTTTGAGGCCGGTATTTCAGGTAGTTTACCACAAGGTATGACTCTTACGTGTATAATCGTTTTGCTTATCGAACTTGACCATGGTCCAACCGTGCTCAACGTACCTATTTTTCACATTTTGTTTCATGTTACAATTGGAACGTAGACATACATGGATGAGGTACGGAGCCATGCCCTGACGAGCATGACATGGCAGTAGACACAAGACGTTCACAGCTTCTAGGTATATGGGTTATTTACAAGCGAATCGAAATTTGTTATTACATGGTCCTTGCATGATGCTTGAGTTGGCAGATGTAATGTACTCTCACTAAGTGACTGTTATTTTCCACAAGCGGAGCTTACACTGTGCCATGCCTGAACGAGGATGAGCTGCCTGTAGGAACCGAACATCTGCCAGGTATTGTGGATAATTCGTGCGCAAATCGAAACATGTTATTTCATGGACTTTGTATGTTGCAAAACTTGACATAACAAATTTACTCACACTATTTTACTGTTATTTTTAATAGACGGAGCTCACGTTGCGCCATGCCCGGATGATGTCCATGAGTCGTTGCCCACTTCAATTGACGATCTGCAAGGTATTGCATCCTTTACAAGCACTTTTTGCAATTTTATGTTATGGCCTTTGCTTCCGTTGCAACTTCGTGAAATAGCAACAACTTATTTTCGTAATATGATTCTCGTAATTTTCGTAATATGATTTTTGTATTGAATTAGATGGAGGACGAAACCAGCCATACATGGCCATGCCTGATTTGAACGATATGTGGTAGTTCACCAAATTTTTGCATTTTCTTGCGTAGTATGCACTGTTATTATCTGCGAACAAATGACATGGAATGCTATGCATTTTCTTTCGTTGTATTAATTAGATGGAGCTGTCACGGAGCCCTCAAATGTAACCGGGGTCAGCGATGCAGAGTTGGATGGTTGCAACGTGATGAATGGTGAAGGTAAGTTCATTGCATACGTTACCAGTGCATATGATACGTATGCCTAGCGGAGGGCATTTCGGGTAACTCACTCGGTCCATTCCATTTTTTTGTAGGTGTTGTCCCCAAGGTACCTGTTCCAACCCCTGTACCAGAAGTAGGAGGCAGAGTTACTATGGCAAGAAGGCTCTCTGCCTGGCTGCAACGTCCTGCTCCTGCTATGAGGACTCCATACACGAGAGGGAGGGGGGAAGAGAATAAAGAAGTAATTGTGAATAAAGTGACGGGATGGTAGGATGATGATGTTGTTTTTTTTTTTTGCCTTGTAATTGGAGGCGTAAAGGTGGTAAACGATGTTGAGGGCAACAATTATTCACTCGTTTTTACGTTTATTCTAACATTTATGCTTGAATTGCTCTTGGCATGTGTGTTGGAATTTTGACGTGGCCCTAACATTTCGCGTTGTCTGTGCATTATGACCATACTCCGTGTCTAATTTTGATGACGTTTTGTTCTACTGTTATAGGCCGGATAACTTGACCATGTGTTATATTACGTGAACCTTACGAACGTAAGCTCACATGATAAGTGTTGTTTGTCACACTCATACATTATCTTGCTTGATAATTTTCCTTTTGCAATGTTCAACTCGTCCCTTCCCATCTATTGTACTTCGTCTAATGTGTTTCTTCGCTTTTTAAATAATTTTTCTGCATTCTTCTAATGATGTGTTATCGTTGAAGTTAGCTTTTGAAACATGATCTCTGCATTCTTCTAATTTTAAAAGATGTCTGACTTTCGATTTGGTTTCTGTTTGATTTGTCATGAGTACGCATTTAATTGTTTTCCTTAAGTGTTTTTTAGCTTCGAAGGATTTATTCCTGGCACTACATTGCTAACTGACAACATGTTTGTGGTACGATTGAGCTATTTGCAATGCTAATTTTGGTTTAAAAAAATATTATCTGTTATTTTACCACATGATGCACATTTATATTTGATTTTCCCTAGGAAATGTCATGTACACCTAAAGTTTTGCAATTTCGGTAAATTTGCTACTTTATTTATGCAATTTCATTGGAGGATGACGGTTTATCAATGTAACCCATTTTATACTTAACACTCTTTCGTGCTGAATCTTATGTACTAAACGTACTATTACTATACTTAAAAAACCAAAAAATATCGTTATAATGTTTACATTGTGAAACAACCTAACAACTTGTTGCAATCTAAATGTATGACATATTGTTGCAATATAAATTCAGCGGACGCCTAGGATCACATACAATTCAAATATATCATTCTTTATATTTGTCAGTTATGGCATATTTTTGCAATCTAGCCCTTTACGGCAAGCTTAAGATCACATGCAATTCAAAGATAACAATATCTTCTTATTTGAAATTTACGGCATATTTCTTACTACGTTAATGTACCATAAGCTTAGGATCACATGCAATTCAAAGATATGGTTCCTCATACTTTTAATTTATGGCAATTGTGGGAAGCTTAAATTTACCATAACTTTAGGATCACATGCAATTCAAATATATCATTCTTTAGTCCACTGCAACGATGGTGGGTATATCGGGGTCTGACAGTGTCACATTAGGGAGCCGCCATTGTCATGTGTCATTTTCCGTAAGAGTAGAATCACATGCAATTCAAAGATAATTTTGTTTCAAATTTGTAATTCATGGCATATTTTTCAACATAGGTTACAGAGATATGAGCTCGTACAGACGAAGGCCGGGTACGGGAAACGAGGCTTTGGTGCACTTCCATGAGATGCGACGAATAGGGAGAAAGCGTGGAATGTGTTGTACAGGCATATATTCTGTCAACAATCCGTAGGGATGAATTAGTTATCTTTCTATACTGTGTAATATTACCATCTAGTTCAAACATTTTATGTGGCATTTATTCGAAACTGTTAAGTATATTTGAAATTTATATACAACAACCCTCCATTTGCAATAAAGCCACTTGGCTCGCACTACTACGGTATACGTCTGGACTTATTTTCAAATTTCTTGTTTGTATTTATAACGTGCAGGTACCTTCGTAATATGAAAATATGGTTAACATGATAAGCCAATAAAAGCGCCCAAAGCATGACAACCATGGTGCAACTAGTTGACAACGGAGTTAATGTCTATTTCGTTTTTGTTTCATTCATCGTGTAACATGTGCGTGATAATGATGCCCCATTATTGTGAGACACTACAATTACAACCATGGTACAACTACTATATTTTTTTTTTCACAAACACATTTCAGCTGCAGGAATTTAAATTTAGTGAATTGTACAAAGAGAATAAAGAGTCTTAAAGGTCCTACTAATTATGGGAAAATGGGGAGTAAAGGTACTCTAAATTTATTAAACCATCACACCAATTACTTTTCAAATGTACAGGGAAATTGAACTTGGTGGTTGAGTAGATGATGACTATAATTGCTTCTCGCCTTCAAGTTGCTTATAAATACAGTGTGAGTTCATTGTCACTCCTAGACAACTTAGTTCAATGGCCTTGTGAGAATTTCTACCTCTCACAAAGACATTTCGTTTCATCAATACTTTACTACATCAACATAATGATTTCGTCCACATGAAACACCGAACCGTTCAACATGGATGAGCTATTGTCAGTTCATCTCCGTTATTTCTAATCTACATTTTGTCAGACGATGAGTAAATTAACCCTCGTAAGGGTAGGAAAGCCATTCTCCAATTCCCTTTCTCAACTTGGAAGATGTTGAGAGTGACGGTGGGCAATCACAGAACGTTGTACTCGATGCGATGGACGCTGGATATGAGGAATAGTCCGATGACGACGGGCTGGAGTACGTCCCACAGAATGAGGTCATTATCATCTTTTTTGACGAGTCAGGTGAAGACAGCGGGGGAGAAAGTTCAGTAGTCGACACAAAACCAAAATGTCTGCATGAACATGTTCCTAAGCTGTAATTCGGGTAGTGTATTTTGTGTACTCCAGTCCCATCGAACTGTCGAGAATTACAGATTCCTATCTGTCGAGAATGACAAATTAACCGTTAGGCTGTAGATCTATATTTTGCACCACGTTCAGCGGATGTTATGAAATGATTATCATGAGCTGAATTGACTCCACGGATTACGATGTTGCAAATTATAATAAATTTCGAGGGTATTGAATATAACATTTTTAAATGGACAAAACAGGGAAGTGGTTTCGCATCCTCCCTTCATTTATGTTGAACGGTCATAGAGTATGATTGGCTAATTGTACGTTGTCAAAGATATTCTGGCAAAAATTTTTACTTATGCTTATTCTGAATAATGTAAGCAGATAATGTGTACGCAAACACCATTATTTGTGTTGATGTTAACAAATGGGGTTCATCATGTGTGCAATTCGGTGAACTAATTACAATGTTACAATTTACAGTACATTTGGCTGGGGATTGAAAATCGTATATTGTAATACTGTGTGATTCGTACAAGGTTTTGCTTACTACTTTCAAGTATTTTGAATGACCGTACAGTTGGAGGGTTAACTATACGTCTTTGAAGACATTGTGTCGAACATATTATAATTATGTCGTTTCCTGTTCACAGAATCTACAGTTTACCATGTACGTAAAGCTGATCTTGAATGTTGTGCACGCTTTCCTCAACTATCAGGAATGCAAAACACATCTGTTCATTTCACATGTCGGGATGTTGCGTAGGTACTGAACAGAACAGTCTAATATGAAATTCGTATGTGCTCAAAAGAATGCCGAACATCCAAAAATAGTAATTATCACAACTTTATAAGATAACTTCATAATGTACAGTGCAGTACGGAACATTGAACATACAACGTCGATTACACTGAAAACCTTTAAGGAACTTGTGATACATTGGGATTTGAACATGTGCTCCAATTATGACCAAGTTGAGCACAACGAGTGCATTTCCTGCTCGACCATGCAGACTCATGTCTTGAATGCTTACGTCGGGTCGGTGGTATACCTAGAGGGCGACGTACGAGTGGTGGCAAAATAGAAGTAAATGTAATTAAGCTCGGAACAACCTAGTTCACTTCACGTCCAACAGGATATATAGCTTCGCTATAGGCACCCCTCCAGCATTCAGATGTGTAATAAGGGGAGCAAAGGTCATACATAGACTTTCCTCTAAAGCAATGAGCACGAGTTGCATGAACACATGGCATAGGGTTTAGTTGGAATTCACGACACGTGCATGTGTCTTCGAAAAAGTCAACTATGTCCATGTCATTGATATTCCAATTTGAGTTAAGTTGTTTGTCAACAAATAGGCTCGAACCCTAATTCCACTTTCGAATGTCATCCGTAACTCGTTCTCCATCCTTGACGTCAATACGGTACTGTATTCGATCGCATTTTTTTGATGTTCGTAAAACCACTTCTGCATAGTACTCCAAATGTGTTCAACCAAGCAGGTTATCGGTAAAGAACGGGCTTGTCTCAACATGGAGTTCAAATACTCTGCGTTGTTGTTCGTCATAATGTTATAACGGTGGCCAATAAAGAGTGCTCGAAACCAAAATGAATAACCTATACGCTGTAAGTACCCATGCGCTCTTGCGCTCACCCTACGAATCTGTCCCACGAGTCTTTCAAAGTCCTCGACCCGATAAGTTGTAGCAACTCGTTTGAATAGATATATTGCACTTGTGTTCCTATATCGTTGTATTACGTTCTTTTCGAGATGCCAAATACAACAACTATGGTGAGACAACGAAAACAACTGAGTAATAGCTTTGTCAATGCTCTTTTTCCTGACTGAAACAAATACGAGGTCTTCGGAGTCCCCTATAAGCTCTTTCAAGTTGGACATAAACCACTTCCAGGATTTATTGGTTTCAGCATCCACGATCCTCCATGCCAACGGATATATCTGTTTGTTACCATCTTGAGCAGTTGCCACTAGAAGTGTACCTTTGTATGGACCCTTCAAGTGACTGCCATCAACACAAATAACGGGTCTCAAGTACTGCATGTAACCACGAATGCTTGCATCGAAAATAGGAAGAAGTAATGAAACCTATTTTGAGAATCAAGTTCGATGTGGGTTACTGTCATCGGGTTACTCTCTCCTACGACGTGGCAGTATGAAGATAATTTCTGGAAACTGGCTTCTGGTGTACCGTGTAGCATAGTTAAGGCATAAAGCTTCTCCCTACAAGCTTTGTTGTAACTGATTTTCACACCAAACTCACGTTCCATATCACGTGCAATAGCGGTAGGGTCATACGATCGGTATGGAGTATCTAGTTTTCCCAAAATGTGCTCGAAAATTACAGAACTAATGGCATGTCGATGTGCGTTACGACGAAAATCAAGGGAACATGTGTGAACGTTGATGAATTTACGGATCATGAAGATTGTAGATTGCTTGACAGTAGAAGCACGTAGCATCCACTTCCAATTATCGTCCACACATACAACAGTAAACATTTTCATGCTTGACCTGATCAGCCGAAATTGGAACTTCTCTTGTAAAGCAAGCACACGAATGTTCGAGTACAACTGTTTCTTGCTAAAGAATATTTGCTTTTCGACGAGAACGACGGCTGTAATCCACTCATCTATGCCCGAACTTATGGAGTGTGATGACATTGGCTGGTTAATGTTAGCAATAATAGCACCATCCATACCATGTGATGGGTTGTCTAAGTGCTCAACGGATGCTGCAGCCTCGATATGGTCAATTGGAGATTCTAGTGCTTCGGTGTTTGATACATTGTGCTGATGATTGAGATCACCATGTTATAAATTTTAGGGACATTCCATTTGGCTAAATAGGTTCGTTGCACAATTTGCTTTCCTCGTCATGTCAACACTCGAGAGCTCAATTTTTAAAATAGTGATGCAGAGTACAGTTTTCTTATGAACAGATATGTACCAATTTAGGTCTTCATCATTGCGTATCTTTGCCGGAGGTATATTCAAATTCGGGACTTTGAACTCCAATTTGATTTCATTGCGAGATTCAACAATACCAAGTTTGTCATTCAATCGTAACACAAATTATGCTACAGTAATGCTTCTAGGCACTAAAATAGAAGTCGTTTCGTCCTCTCTTCACTTCCATTCGTCATCCACGTGAACAAAGTCCCCCAATGCGACACGATGAATCTCAAATCCTGAGTCCTATATAATATGTTGGGACTACAAAAGTGAGAATTCTGCATATTCATATGTCGAAGGATTTAATACCGTCAAATTGGTTTCATTGGAATACTTTGATCCATGTAGTACCAAAAAGAGAAAGCTTTTTAGGTGTCGAAATCGATAATTGAATTCTGATGTGATCCGACTTGCGCCTCGAATTATGAAATATTTGATGTATGTTGGCGAGAGATCGAAACCAATATTTGAGCTCAATTTCGGGCCAAAAGGAGTTAATAAAGCAAGAAAAAAGAAGCTCAAGCTGGTGAATTTAATTACACATATTTTACTGTGAAATTAGAGAGTTAAAAGGGCTTGAAATAGGAATCATTTCAAGGCTAGGAATGGGAGACAAAATATGGTAGATCAATTGTGTTAGCCAATGGAAGAGGAAGCAAAGGCAAGCTGGAACACGTGAACTCAAAAACTGGTCAGATTGTCTGCAAGCTATGCGCCCGCAAGCACAGTCCCAGGGAATTTAACGGTCGGAACCTACGTAACTATGCAACCGAATGTCCTTCGACTATGCGGTCACAAGGCAGCATCCCAGATTTTAAGCGCAAGTTACCAATTTTGAGTGAAACTCTATCTTCGGCTGGTGCATTGGGATCCGTTAGTTATTGTTTCCTTTTAGAATAATATATCTTTAATAATTTTATTCCTTTTTCCCATATTTTAGGTGATATTTTATGCTATTTAAAATTGCTATTTTCCTTTTTATTAGTTTTTAGGGTTTTAGTATAAATAGGATTATTTCATTGTATTTTGAATAAGTTTGATTATGAATTAATGAGAGACTTTCCTCTTCGAAGCTTTGCTTCAAATTTATCTTGTTCATTAAATTGAATGGGGCGAACTTATCAAGACTAATCATCTTGTGGCATTCAAAATATCGGATTGAATCATCAAATTGTCTAACAAAGGGGTCTTTCGCGTCAACGTTACCGTTGGATTTTTTGGTTCATCTTTTATTAGTTCAAATCTACAATCCGGGTGTGATTTCTTCAATCGTGTGATCAAGAGGTCTTTCAAGCAACGTTCTTGTTGGGTTGCTTGGTTCACTATTTTGGAGTCAGATCTATAAACATTGGTCATATTGGAGTTCTTGGGATTCGATTCAATATCCTGTGGGTTCGATTGCAACCTTGCTGATCGGGTTCGCATCAAATTCTCTGTCTATCCCGACAGTTACTAAATGTCAAGTTCGACAGTTAAAATATTTAACCCGACGGTTTCGACGATACTGCTCAACAGTTGAACTACCATAAGTTTCGAGAAAGCTAAAAATCATGTGTTTGACTATTTGAAGAATTTATTGCAAAAACATTAATGGTGTTAATCAATTCTCAACTACAACATCAACTGATCTTCCCACAAATAAAGAAAGTATAGCCCAATACTTCATTAAATAAGGAATTAAATATGAAATCCTTCACATTTTGTTAAGAATATTGATATTTTTTTCCTTTCTAAAATATATTAAAAATAAAACGCATCAATGAATAAGAGATTAAAAATGGACAATTAATTATGACCATATTCTATTTAACATTTAAAGTAGTCAAGTATGGCATGAAAAGATTTCTTTCCCACTACATCACCTTTAAGATTGATCAATGGCTTTCCTTGTTTCCTTGTTGATGATGAAAGGGAGATGATGAAGAAGAAGAAGCTATTTCAAGTCCTACTTGCGTGTGTGTTTTTTGTAAAGATTTCACCCCCTTTCTAATTAAAAATTCATATTATACAATATAATATTCATTTATTCAATGTTAACAATAAAGAAAAATAAATAATCATATCACATCATTAATTGCATTCAAATCAAGCATTTATTACTCCTAAAAAGGTATCAAAGGGTAAGATGGACATTTTGTGGGGAAAATGTGACATTTTTGAAAAAAAAAAATTGTGCAAGACAAATTTTTTTTGTGCATTTTCAAATTTAGTGACATTTACGTAAATTCCCTTTAATATAATGTGGTAATTTAAAGTATATGGGTCATAAATAAACCATAATTAGGGTTTAAGACGATAATCGGACGACTAAATAAATTCTTATAAAAAGGCTAGGTCCCTTCTCCTCTCCATATTGATTTTTATTAGCTTGTCTCATTAATAGTTAATACTTTGTGATGAGCAAAGAAATGAAAATCTGAATTTATTACAACTATTATTCATACAACAATAACCTCCGCATGTATGAATTCGATTTATCAATTTATAATTATATGTGATTCTTGATTCTTAGTATGATTAAAAATTTAATTTTGATACAAAATACTTATAATTTAATTTTTGTTAAAAAAAAAAAAGACGATAAAAGTCTGAAAGTTTGGGAAAGCGTTGATTAAGATGTACTCTTCTATCGGAATTGCATATTTTTTGTCTCACTAGCCAAAATTAAAGCGTTTTATCTAAATCAAATTAAATTTGTTAATGATAAAGTAATCATTTAATGATTAACGTCTAAAAGTTAAGCTAAGAGAATGAATAATGCTATTTGTAATCATTCAATATCACAGTCGTCTTAGTGGCATATATGTAACGATTAGTGACTTGTTACGTAAGTTAATAAAAAATTACCACATTAATGTATCAAATCACTAACCGTCACATATATACTACATAGGACGATTACGATATCGAGCGGCTGCAAATAACATTACTTTAAGAGAATTAGTGATTCATTTGTTTGGTTCCAATATTTTCAAAATTCATTTCTCTCTCTCTCTTATTTTCAATAAAATAATATTATACGCAAACCCGAACTTTTTTTCTTAGTTTTTAACCTAACATTCCATATCAAAATACTATTTCAAAACATATTTTGTAATAAAAAAAGGGGGACTCAAATAGGTTAGAAGTGTTTGAAAAATGTCCAAGTCAATGATGGTGGAATTATGCTTTATTTTCGTTATTAATCCAACATGCCACCTATTAAAAATGTGTATTTTTTTAGTAAAAAAATGTAAATTTTAAAATTTCGTGACATCGAACTTGGTCAAGTCGTTAAAAGAAAGAATTGTGTTACAGGTAAAATTTATTTCACAACATTATTAACAATCCTCTCACATGAAGTAGTAGACCAACGATTAAAATAATCACGAATCCCACATTTTGTGAGAAAGCTATCAAATAACATTACCATTTTCCTAAAAGAAATTACAACTTTCTATTGGACCATTACACGTTGGACCACTGGATCGCTAGGGTGCGTATTTATATCAAATTAATATTTATTCTTCACTGTTATAAATTAGTAATTTATAGACACCACGTGAGGAACGTGTTATTTTTTAATTTTTTTTATTCACAAAAGCTAAAGACAAATGCCAGTACTTCTCTGTCATGTAAAAGAGCATTTAACAATGGCACCATGGCAGTAGATTTTTTAAAAGTGCTTCATATTTTCTATTCCTGGTTCTTGTTTGCGACTTATTTTTATTTTTTTTCGATATGTTTCTGAATTTAGAAAAAGAAGGTTGAGGATAGCGTCTAGTTGGCCTTCATTATTTGCACATTTTCTTATCCAATTTTTAGAATTTCTGGTGTCCACGTAGGGAAATTGTCGCATCATTCTCACCAATATAGCTACCATTCTTTTAACCCTTTTATGAAGTGTTACATGTATTATTCACCTCATTTTCCAAAATTGCCCTTGACATGTTATTAATGGTGTCAGTGGACTTGGCTAGGTGAGGGTAAATGCATCCAACCAATTTCCAGCTGTAAATGCAAATTAAAATCATTTTCAATAGGCTTTGCATTTTTTTTATTGAGAATAATGTTATATAATTTCGATTTAGGTGGCGCTAGGTGATAATGTCATATTAACGTTATATAAATTGTGGTTGTAATTTCAATGAAACTAAATAACATTACTCCATTTATATTAGTTTTTCACCATATATAAATGAGATTTTTTTCAAAGTCATTTTCAATTGGACATTCTTTAAAAACGGCATTTCTTTTTCTTAAATTTTAAATCCCCGTTTGGCCCTTATTAAAATTCATCAATTTAATTTAAAATTTTCTATTTCCTATATTTTAATCACATAATTTTTAATAAAATAATATTTTACGCAAATCGAAAATTTTTCATTCTTTTATAATCATCCATTTAAAAAAAAAAAAAGAAAAAAAAAAACTATTCTCCATTATAAATCCAAATAGGGCCAAACGGAACTCATCACATCTTCACAAAAATTACTTCTCAGTTGGAAAAATTTCTGCCATAATAACACTAAACGACAAATTATACTCATGAATCTGTGTCTACAGTCCATATATTGAATGCTCCGAAAACAAGGTTCGGAAAAGGAAAAATGGAACGCTCTCGAGATGAGCTCAATCAAGAAGCCATGTTTCAGCCACCCAACTCGACGCCTCAGCCAGCCCATGGAGCGAGTTCCGCCCTCGAAAAGGTGCTTTGCAATACCAGTTTGCCTCCTCTGAAGCGGCTGTGGGTGGCGTCGTGGATTGAAATAAGGCTTTTGTTTCGACTTGCTGCACCGGCAGTCATGGTGTACTTTATAAACAGTTTCATGTCTATTTCTACTAGGATTTTTTCCGGCCACCTTGGAAACCTTGAGTTTGCAGCTGCCAGCCTTGGCAACCAGGGCATTCAGTTATTCGCCTACGGCCTCCTGGTACGCATGACACACTATCGTGCTAGGAGATTTTGCCAGATTTACACTTGACAAAATTTTATTGACAATTGGACAAAATGTTCCCCTGTTTCCTTTATGGTATTGTTCAAAACTGAAGTATTGCTTCATAAATGAGGAAACATACCAATTCTATACCGCAATTAATTCGTAGAATCTTACGTTTCTCGATCTCAATTAATTCGCAGGCCCAATTGGTTTGATTAAAAACACTGAAGAAGTTAGGGTAAACATATGAAGATAAGATTTAAACGTTATGTGTGCTTCTTAATTTACTCTTTAACTCCTAGTCCAAGACTGCTGTGTAAGGATTTTTTAATCAAAGATGGGCTTGTATGTGTAAATAATTATGTGTTAAATTATAGGCTATCGAATTCGGTTGAGCCCGATTAAAGTGATCTAATAAGGTTTCGGTTTTGGGCTTTAATGTATCCAATTAAAGTATGAGTTTACATATGTGTAGAGATCGGGTCCAAGTCCTAATTCTATGATGGGCCGAATTAGGTCAAAGGGCATCCTCATATAAATAGGTTATGGTCCCCAGATCACACGCAACGAAACGAATTGTTCATTCTCTACTGCATCCCATCACAGAGAGGAATAGGAGACTGCGTGTAGATTTGGAAGATCATACCGCGAAATCCATATTGCATTAACCATGTCAGACTCAGGTATGCTTCCGCTTTAATTATTATATTTCTTGATGATTTAACATGAAAGATCCGGTATTTAAAGAATTAAATTATCCAACATGTTGATCTCACTAAGGTATTAAGGTGGACCAGTTGGAAATAGGCATGTTACAGATCACATTACATGTAATTTTCATGCTACACATCCATGCTTGATCCATGTCATTCGGTTATATTGATATACGTGACCATTGATGGGTTTAGCTACATGAAAGTAGCGAAAGCCGCTTTGATCCTATGTTGATATGATTGATGGACGGGATTGTTTAGGGATACATTCAGTAATGATAGCAAAATTCTGAGTACTCATAAGCGTTATGTGTGCTTCTTAATTTACTCTTTAACTCCTAGTCCAAGACTGCTGTGTAAGGATTTTTTAATCAAAGATGGGCTTGTATGTGTAAATAATTATGTGTTAAATTATAGGCTATCGAATTCGGTTGAGCCCGATTAAAGTGATCTAATAAGGTTTCGGTTTTGGGCTTTAATGTATCCAATTAAAGTATGGGTTTACATATGTGTAGAGATCGGGCCCAAGTCCTAATTCTATGATGGGCCGAATTAGGTCAAAGGGCATCCTCATATAAATAGGTTATGGTCCCCAGATCACACGCAACGAAACGAATTGTTCATTCTCTACTGCATCCCATCACAGAGAGGAATAGGAGACTGCGTGTAGATTTGGAAGATCATACCGCGAAATCCATATTGCTTTAACCATGTCAGACTCAGGTATGCTTCCGCTTTAATTATTATATTTCTTGATGATTTAACATGAAAGATCCGGTATTTAAAGAATTAAATTATCCAACATGCTGTCCATATATCAAAAAGTGTGCATATGAAGGCTTTAATAAAAAAATAAATAAAAAATGTAATGATGCATGCGTAAATTTATCAAATACTTTAAAAAAAATTGAATTTGATCTCCAGATAACAAACAAGTTGATTAATTGTTTAGACTTTTTAGACGAATTTTTATTTTCGTGTAATGCTAACATGGGTTTGTTTGCAGCTGGGAATGGGAAGTGCACTAGAAACCTTATGTGGACAAGCCTATGGTGCTGGCAAATACGATATGTTAGGCCTTTATCTTCAAAGAGCAACTGTGGTTCTTTTCTTGTTCACTCTCCCAATAACCTTAGTTTACATATTCTCCAAACAAATCCTTATCTTCATAGGAGAATCCGAAAACGTGGCATCACTAGCCGCAGTTTTTGTCTATGGCCTCATTCCACAGCTCTTCGCGTACACAGTAAACTTCCCAGTTCAAAAATTCCTCCAAGCACAGAATATTGTAGCCCCAAGTGCTTACATTTCATTTGCCACTCTGTTGGTGCACGTGCTCTTAACCTGGGTTGCGGTGTACAAGATTGGTCTAGGGTTGATAGGGGCATCTTTGGTATTGAGTTTATCTTGGTGGATCATTGTTTTGGCCCAGTTCTTGTATATTTTGTGGAGCCCAAAATGTAAGTCCACTTGGAGTGGGTTTAAATGGGAGGCTTTCACTGGGCTTTGGGAGTTTGTGAAATTGTCTTTGGCTTCTGCTGTGATGCTGTGCTTGGAGACGTGGTACTTTCAGGTACTAGTGTTGGTTGCAGGACTTCTCGAGAATCCTGAGGTTGCCTTGGATGCACTTTCAACATGGTAAATTTGCTTTAATCAAATTTTTTTTTTCTTTTTTTTCTTTTTATGTTAACCATTTTTGTTCTTAACATGATTTTTACTTTGTGCAGCATGTCAATTAATGGCATGTTATTCATGGTTTCAGTAGGGTTTAATGCTGCTGCTAGGTAAGTTAATTTGCATCAAATTTGTGTTGATAGCCGTTTGAGAAGGTGGATTATTTTATAGTGTTGAAGAAGAAAAAGAAGCTCAAGTTTTATATTTTCTACTGTTGAGTATGGTCTAAAGCTATGTACTTTGAAATAGTGTCCGAGTTAGCAATGAGCTCGGAGCAGGGAACCCCAAGTCGGCAGCTTTTTCGGTTGTCGTGGTGAATATTGTTTCTTTCATTGTTTCCGTGGTGGTTGCAGCCATCGTGTTATGGCAACGACATAACATTAGCTACATATTCACGAATGGCACCACGGTTTCCGATGCAGTCTCTGAACTTTGTCCGCTCTTAGCTGTCACTCTCATTCTCAATGGCATTCAACCAGTCTTGTCCGGTAATAATTAATTTCCTCCGAATAAAAACTTACGTACAAAACTCACATTGTGAGCTCTTATAAGTAAAAGTAGCATACTAACTGATTTTTATTTTTATTTTACTACTATTTTCCGCCTAGTTTGACATTGTGATTAATTGAAGGGGTGGCTGTTGGTTGTGGTTGGCAAGCATTTGTTGCCTATGTAAATGTTGGGTGTTACTACATTGTGGGAGTTCCAGTTGGTTGTCTCCTGGGTTTCAAATTTGACTTTGGAATTAAGGTACGAGTAATTAGCTTTGTTGTACCTGTCGGCATGATACACATTGGACAGGATTGATATATTTGCCGTGATATTATTGAAGAAAAAGAAATTAAATTGTTTGCTATTGCGTCCAAACAATAATCAAAGATGTTGACGATGATATGAACTAGTATTGAATAGATATTCATGCTTGTAGGGAATATGGTCCGGAATGATTGGAGGAACAATGATGCAAACCATCATTTTGCTTTGGGCGACATCTCGAACCAATTGGAACAAAGAGGTAAATTCTCAAGTATCATTTTAAAATTATTACATTTACTAGAAATATTCAATAAAATTATTTCGATGTAGTAAATAACTACTGAATTTTCAGGTGGAGAAAGCAAAGGACCGTCTTGACAAGTGGAAAGATATAAAAGAGCCACTTCTTAAGAATTGAGAGTGGTTAAGAAAACTATATTGATGCTTGCTTATTTACATTCATTGTTCTTGTTATTTTGGATTTTCTTTACCCAATTTTGAACCATTAAAATATTGATTCGTGATGTTTCGAAGTGTTCTTTTATATATAGATTTGAGAATCATTCGCCTTGTTATTTTGGCTTTTCCTCACCCAATATTTGAACAACTAAAACATTGAATTGCGAGACCGTCAATGTGTTCTACTTTCTTGGCAGTAATTGTTCAACAAACAATTCGATCGTCTAGGTGTGGTCTTTGGTCTCGACTCTTCCTCCAGTTGCTTTCCTCAAGTGCTGAACTCATCAACTCAACAGAACTTTGAGATCTACATTAATCGGAAATAATAATTTAATTTTAATAGGGTTTAATTATTTAAATCTGTGGTACAGAAGCCATGTGGCACGTGACAGTTTTCTATTTTATTTTTGTGAGTTCAGAACTGACGGTGATAATTAAATTAGATTTTTATATCATGGAAAATGATTTGAAAAATCTGTTATGAGAACAGTCTTTAAGATTGGACATTATACAAGGTGAGACAACCGGTCAGTTATGGCTGTAATAATAAGGACACATTCATGTGAGCCGAACTACACGTACAAGGTCATCCTTCACAGGGTATTTACAGGCAAACACAGCAGAAGGTGGGTGGTTCCTTTTTGGCAATAAAATATTCACATGGGATCCCTGTGAAGCCTTTTTAAATTCATTCCCTGTTAGTAGAGAATAAATACATTAATGTACGAATCCGCAATGCTGTTTTGTTCCTAAATTTTTTGTCTTTACGCTTTTCGTTGGAGATATGAATAAATTGTGATTGATTTCGATATTTGGTTTTATCTTCGTTAGACTAGTTGGTCTTTGAGAAGGGAAATGATGTGTGCATTGCACTTCTCAAAATGATGTGTGTACGTATACACGGTCATCTCACAAACATGGGGTTTGTGATTAAAATATGATGTGTATACGCACATACAACCCTCTCACAAATCCTCGTATGTGAGAGGGCTATTACTCATGTTGTCAAATTTATTGTACTTGTAGCATTATTCATTTGAGAAAAGCCAATACAAGACGGGACGATTAATGATTAGAGAACGACATAAACTTACATGGTTAGAAGAATTTAGACGAATGGCATACTCTCACCAAAATCTTTATCCACCAATGAATTAATATGATACTTCACCAGTGTTTAGTATAAGATGATTTAATATATATATATATATATATATATATATATATATATATATATATACCATCAATTATTATGGGAAACGCATAGAATATAGAGATTCGAAAATCAATAATTATAATAAATTCTAAAACTGTTAAAAGTATAAAATTGTGCAGCATGATCCTGTAGCCAATCAGAAAGTTTCCCAGTACTCAGTCCAATTTTAAAATGCAAAATATTTCATATTTAGCGGATATCTCTCTGTCCGAGACCTTTCACACGATTCAACCCAAACCACCTTACTCGACTAAAAATGTGAAATATATGTTAACTAGATGGTAAATAAATTACAGCTACACTACCCTTACAGAACTAGCAGAATCAGGATCCTGCCAGGCAACACACACACGTGGGGACCACGTAATTTACTTTTTTAATATAGGTGGGGCTCCTGCACAGTGAGGGGCCCTGTAAGTGATCTGTGAGAAAAACCCTGTACATTGGACATTTCCCAATAAATTAACATAATTTTGGCTAGCTAGCTAGTGTATCTCACACTAGGTATATCAGTGTTTTGGACATTTTACTCGGAATTAAATCAACCATGATGTCATATATCAGCATAAAAGTTGCCAAACATGCAAGTATATTTTTCATTCAATCAAAGTACAAATAAATTTTATAATTTAAGAGCACATCATTATAATCCATGTCCATCTTTGTAACTATATACCAGCACAGATAAAAAATCACTTTTGTTTATCAAATTATAAAATACTGATTTTGAAACATACAATAACTTAAAAACAAGGTTTACCAAATACTGAATCGATTCTTCCTTAACACAACAACAGCTCATTATCTTAAAATCACGAGAATAACAAGTCAAGTCTAATTGAGTTAATCTCATCCCCCGTCTTAACTTTTATTAATGAAAGAAATTAAACACTAAACATGGTCATTAACCTAAGCGGTATATATAAAGTACTAGTCAGAGTTGACCGAGCATTATACGTTATTTTGAAATGCTTTATAAGTGCTATAAAATAATATTTGATACAAATTTATTAGGAGAATTTGATGAATTTCAAACGAACTAAAAAAAATTAATTAGGACAAAAATTTAAGAGAATAAAATTGTACTATGAAAATTCAACTTCTATGGTTCTTTTTATTTTTTTAAATGATGAAATACTACAAATTAACAACACATTCGGTATATAAGAATTAATTGCTAATACATAAATTTAAACACTCATTAAAATTTTTAAATACATGAATAAAAATAAATCTATTTAGAATAACTCTAGATTCATGTAGATCAAAATTCATTGAATTTAGATTAATGTTAATGTTAATTTATTGAGAATTAATAATACGAAATTCATACATAACAAGAATTTTGTAGTACTTATTACATATTGGAAAATGAAAAGTAAGATATTATTGAAATAATTAAATTATAGTAGAGTTAAAATCGTCCGAAAAATAATTCCAACAAATTCCATATATTGACCTCGAAAGATTCACAGAACTGTTACTACATCAAAAATATAACAATCCTTTCAGTGAATGTAAAATGTAATTTATCATGTATCATCAATCTCAACTTCCAAGTGAAAAAACAAGAAAAAAACAAAGAGGCAGAGACAGAGACTTCAAATGATCGTTGGTGGGAGACTTCTAATTATTCCCTCTCTTCCATGAATCATTCGCTTCCAAGATTTCAATTGACCAGTAATTTTCTTGCAGAAACCAGTTTTAGCAGAAACTAATGTTAACCCAATACTCTTTCTCAGTATCTTAAATCTTTTACCAATCTTGATCTTCAACTTGAACATTTTCACTCTCAGCCATGAAGGTCTTGACCTCCTAATTTCTGCTTTCTGCAAAGCCTTGTAAATCAAGAATTGTGCCCTTTGATGCTTTTTCTCTTCCGGGTCAAACATTTCCATCTTCGAATACGTATATGATCTATTCAAAAAGTCCATTTTGATGATCTTGAGGCTACTCGACTCGATAGGGAAGGTATTTTATTGGCGACTGGGCTTGTCCTTTTTTGACAGATTACTCTCAAAGACGGAATTTTTTTTACTGACGGCTTTCTTGTGACGAGCGGGCTTGCCAAAAACTCTCTGTGTGTGTGTGTGTGTGTTAGAGCGAGATAGAAGAGAGACAGAGATGAGTTGGTCCAAGATTTGTTGAATTTGATGAAGTATTTATAGTGAAACATTGAAGAGTTGCAATGGGGGTCAGGTTAATAATGGGATTGAAAACTGAAAAACTGAGCTGGCCTGAAATGATATGCTGCAAAAATTTTCTTTTAGTTAATTGTCAAACAACTATATATCTATATATAACTAGGATTTGATGGAGACAGCAGATATAAAAATGACACACCCGGCCGGTTGAAAAAAAAAGGTTGAACCCCAACCTTAAGGGTCCCCCACTGCCTCTACCCTGGAGCATCGTGAGGGAGGTAAATCGCAGATTATGCTTCCAAGGGTATAGGGTCCAGGCTGCTTATACACTTGCACTTATCCAAGAGCCAAATCTATATTTCAGGATTCAACCCTTAAAGCAGCAGCCTCAAGTAAAGCTGGATTTCTCCACCCTCGCCTTTTACCACTTGGAGATGTGCCCTGGGGGCACACCCAGGCCGGTTGAAGCTTAGACAAGTGTGAGTGTGTGACTGAAAAGAACATAATTGTAGTTGATGAATTTATACAATGTAGCATGAAACGGAAGATAAAGAAAAGGGATGAAATGAAAAAAATTCGTCCTTTGATTTTGTGAATATTTGGGACGTTGGAATTTGAATTTTGTTGATTCATGAAGGGCGTGAATAATCCATGCAACGTTGAAGAACTCTCACTAGAATTCTTTTAACATAAAAACCCGGCAACCTGAAACATATGTCAATTTAAACCACAAGATAACATCTCAACTTTCAATAATAATGAGATGCCCCATATATTTACTAAGGGCCCGTTTGGTAGAGATTTTGAGAATTGATTTTTTGACCGTTAGAAGAAAAGTGGGGTCCACATGTGAGAGAAGAAGTCAAAAATTACGGCTTGAATAGTAAAATAACAGTAAAAAAATCAACTTTTTGGGACAAAAAATCCCTACCAAACGGGGCCTAAATAGGAAAGAAATAAAAGTCGTAACATGGACCAAAATTATTTTTTCAATAGCTTATAACTCCAAATTAACTTAAAAAAAAGATCATTATTCATGGAGTAATACTTATACAGCTTGACCAAATTAAAATTAAAAAATCCACCGGCTGTGTAAATGTGCCAAGCCAGAGTCATCAACTTGTGAATTATTTTGTATTTTATTAAATCAGTTTCACTTGTGGCTTATGATGTGTGGGGATCCCACAAGACAGAAGGAGGGAAAAATAAAATGATGCTTTCCCTACATACGCATTACAAAATTAATTAAATACTGACTTGTATAATTATGAGTCAGACCAATAATTCCTTAAGCTAATAGAGAAATGAACAAACAAAGAAGAAACTGTGAAATTATAATTATTTTTGTAATAAGTGGTCAAAGAGCAACAAGTCTCTCAGACAGTTGAGGCCATTATTTTTCAAAAGTCAACGGCAATATATATAGCTGCCTGCAGAATTGTATATTTTCCGGTGATTGAAGAGTTGGATTAGAAACGGCAATGGATTTTGGCTTCTTGATAGTGATGTGAGGTTAGTTACAATTATTATTGTAATTACTTGGTCATGCATCACGTTTGATGATAAGAATTTAAATATCTCGACTTTCATAATCTAATCTCGTCATTCATTTGTTTCTACGTGCATAAACAAAATAGGCAAGCATTAAAGCATGCATTTGGTTGCCTCGAGAGTCAAAATTCAGATGCATAATTAAAATAGAGGAAAATGTGGAAATAATCATAGAATTTTCTAGTTCTTTTTTAACTTCTTTTGC